CTTTGACAAACTTCAATCAAATATGTTTCGGAGTAGGGGCAAAAATCTCAGAGCACTCTTCAATAACAGAACTATGTATTTCACTGAAAAAGTCACACTCTTGACATTGAACTGACCACTTGCTATCACTGTCAGGAATGGAAGGAACAGCCTTGGGGATACTACGAATACTGACAGCAGAGGAAGAAATAAAAGCAGATCATATGTGGTCTGCAAAGACTGTCACAACACGCTGAAGCTCCATACTAATACAGTCAATACTAGATTTAGTTGCTGTAACAGTATCATAACTGAAAGACAAAACTGATGAGCTAGCAACAAACAGCAAGAACAAGAATTTTAGAGACCTGTATTTTTTTTTCCTGTGGCGCTACAGCCCCAATTTGGGCCTAGGCCTACCTCCACAAAACTCTCCGTTTCACTTCGGTTTACTAGATCTTACACATATGGTAGGACTCCTTGGGAGAGTGATCAGCTCGTCGCAAGGCCTCTACCTTTAGACAAACACAGAAAAACGCACACAAACATCCATGCCCTGAGTGGGATTCGAACCCACGATCTCGGTTTCCGAGCAAGTGAAGACAGTGCATGCCTTAGACTGCTCGGCTACAGTGACTGGCTTTAGAGACCTGTATAGAGGAATAAATTACTTTAAAAGGGTTACCAACCTAGAGGTAACTTAGTGAAGGATGAGAATGGTGATCTGCATGCAGATTCCCATAACATTCTGAACAGGTGGAAGAACTACTTCTCTCAGTTATTGAACGTACATAGGGTCAGTGATGCTAGATAGTAATACATGCAGCTGAGCTGTTAGGGCCTGAGTCTAGCCCTCTTGAGGTTGAAATTGCTATTGCAAAGTTCAAACGGTATAAACTGCCAGGTAGTGATCAAATTCCGGCAGAAATGATTCAAGCTGGAGGTGAAATATTATGTTCTAAGATCCATAAGTTATATTACGTATATTTAAGCATCCTGTTGCACTGTACACTTCTATATGTAATAATACAAATGCCATCTTGAATGCAGTAATTTATTTGGTTGTAGTTCTTTGTCTTTTTTTCCTCTACACTACATGTTTCAGCCGTAACTGGCCATCATCAGGTGTATTTTTCACTATGTAGCTGTCACACTGCACACAATCCAAAATCTAAAACACCAGCCTGTCAGTTTTTTTAAAATTCCCACCAACATACGCTTGTCAATTTGATTTTAGAATTCCAGTTTAAAATTTAAAATTCAAAATTTAAAGTTTTAAATCACAGGGATACCTGCTCTGTGTCTACATGTGCTGCAGCGGCTATTTCTTGTTTTCAGCACCATTCATGTATTATTCTGTGCAGGCTCCCTGTGTGTTTAAATAAATTTGAGTACAGTACTACTATCAATCTGGAAAGTTTTGAAATGTGGTGTTGGAGGAGGATGGAGAAGATTAGTTGGACCGATTATGTGAGAAATGAAGAAGTGTTAATTAGAGTCAGTGAGCAGAGGAATATCCTACATGAAATAAGAAAATGGAAGGCTAATTGGATTGGTCATGTTTTACGCAGAAACTACCTTCTAAAAGAAGTTATCGAAGGAAAGATAGAGGGGCGGATAGAAGTGACAAGAAGACGAGGAAGAAGACGTAAGAAGATGCTGGATGACCTTGGGGACAGAAGAGGATACTGTCATTTGAAGGAGAAAGCTCTAGATCGCATTAAGTGGAGGAATTGTTTTGGAAGAGACTGTGGACCTGTCATCTTGACAGATTACTGATGATGATGATGATGATGATGATGATGATGATGACTACTATCAATCAGCATGAAAAATGGTGCAGGAATCTAGGAAAGATATAATGGCTAACAACTGTGCTGTTCAGCCATATCTGTGTAATGCAGATGTTACAATTAGTAACACTGTCCAAGAATTTGCCGCTTTTCATTTCAAAACCTGATATTTTGATATAACAGATTTAAATAGTAGAGGTATGGGGCCGTATCAATTGGCATTAAGGCTACCTCTAGTTGCTCCAATCAAATTTATCCAAGAATTTGCTGCTTTTCATTTCAAAACCTGATATTTTGATAAAACAGATTTAAATAGTAGAGGTATGGGGCCGTATCAATTGGCATTAAGGCTACCTCTAGTTGCTCCAATCAAATTTATCCAAGAATTTGCTGCTTTTCATTTCAAAACCTGATATTTTGATAAAACAGATTTAAATAGTAGAGGTATGGGGCCGTATCAATTGGCATTAAGGCTACCTCTAGTTGCTCCAATCAAATTTATGAGAAAAGATGGGTCATCTGTCTTCTGAAGTGCTGGTGAAAAGGTTGGGGTACCAGATATGTAGATCTGATCATGATTTGGGTGGCCACAAAATGGTCCAATTAAGCAGCCGTTCAGCTACACTTCAGTCCTGTTCATTAATGGGAAATCTTTGTCTCCAACCAAAACATAATATGAAACATACATTTTAAATTTTGTTTTCAATCTGTGACATGTCATGGCAGATAATTATTACTGTCCTTCCGAAAATTTATTAGGAAGCTGTCTCGGCTAAAATGGGAAACAAAGAGGAGCATGATTTTATTAGCCTTCTCAGTATCGACAAAGTGTTTGGCCGTGACATAACTCAAGCGGTTAGTCCCTGGCTTCCCACCGCAGAGGCCTGGGTTCGATCCTGGGTCTGGTCAAGTGGGGTTTGTGGTGGACAAAGTGGCGCTGGGGGTGGGTTTTCTCCGAGTACTTCGATTTCCCCTGCCAATCTTCATTCCATCAAATTCTCCATCATCATAATCACCCAGGGCAAGTACAATAGGCCAATCAGTGGTCGCCGTGCAGAGTGGACCCAACTGATAACAACGAAGTGTGCAGAGGTACTTCTGACCCCAGTGATGAGACAATGATAAACCTCACTTTCGTAAAATATGTTAGAAAATTCTCATAATTTAAATTACTGATAACAAGCGTATGAACAATTCTGACGTGTGGCATGGGAAGGGATGTGATTTGAGGCCATGAGAATGTGAGATATAATCATGTAGGAGGATATAAACCTTTAAGATGTGCTTGGGTGTCTGAAAATATCATGCTAGTGGTTACTGTAGAAATCTGTTATTCTGAAAATCCAAATAAAACATTTTGTGCTTCTGCCAAGCATAGTTAGATACATTTTATATCAGTCAGAAATTGCAAACCTCTCAGACTAGTGGCAAGAATATTCAGTCCATTTTTGTTTAACATTCCACATTCAGTGCAAGCTTAAAATATTTTATGTCATGGGTTTGGAACAGCATGCTTTAATAATAAAAAAAAAATTATCTCTTAGCAAGTTTTATAATGCTCAAAACTGAAACAGTGTGGAGTGGTTTGTGCTATCAAGAGTGCATCGGTTAAGAAACTGAGATCCAAACCTATTCAACATTTACACAGTTGAAAAGTTCCACTGTTTTATACAGAATGCAGAAATAATTATAAGGCACAAAGTCTGAAGTAGTAGGTAAAATAGTTCATCATTTAGCATATAACATGGACAAGAAAAAATAAAGATGAGCTAAACTCTGTGGGGGAGGGGGTACCAACTGTGCCAATAAACAACAATATATAAAAACTGGATTTCATCTAGCAGTATTTAGTAAATTAAATGTAGCTTGTAAGTATTTTTGGCTGCAAAAATCCATGCAGGACGTGGTTGGTATGTGGCACTTAAAAATGATTAAGAAGGCACATTTAAGAAACTGTGTGCGAATACTGTCAATTAATTCTATATTGCTATCTGCTAAATGATGAAAGAAAACTAAATACTATCCAAACAGAAATATTCACCATTGCTTCAGAGGAAGGGACAGTCACTGAAGTACTGGCAATTGTGATGAATATCTAACTGATTAATTTGGATCTTTGTCTTTGCCACATGCACTACATGGACATGTATATTCATGTGACAATCAGAGGTGTACAGAGCGTTGCCTTCTCTGAGTCTTCACACCATTAAACAGTCTTACACTCCAAACAGGACCAAACTGCAATGTCACCATAATCCATTATGTACATATAGAATAAGACTCTGACATGCTGGAAACATTTCCAGGCCATTCTACAATATTTGTACTCCACTCCTAGCCATTAAAGGCTTAATTAACTACAATACCAATGAAAATATTTGATATGGTGCATGAAACTAAATGCAAGGAGATATGGGAGATCAATTTCTAAACCTGCAAATGTGAACAGTATGGGAAAAGTGAAATAACTGACACCTACTACAGTATATCACAAGACTGCTGTCTGTTCATCTCCTCTGATTCTTTGCAGCAGGCACAGAAGAGAATAATGAACTTCTTGACCATGATATAAACTGTAAGATTAACTTCTGTCTGCTGCTCAAACACATAATCTTCAGTTCAAGTGAAGTCTTGTTCCTGAAGTAAGAGGTCTGCCAACACCTTCCTCAATTATATACTGCCTCCAAAAGAAATCCCCATAACAAATACATAATGTTTTGAGAAAATACCTTATTAATTCAAGCACCATATAAATCCTTACTCACGTCTGTACTCTTACAGATTTGTTTTAATAAAACCGTCATTCTTTCATTTGTGATATCTGTATTCCAACGTTATCTGGAAGAAATTCAGCCTCACAAAGTGCTAAAGATGCAATAATTTATGCCTTCAGTTTGTATTTCACAGCATATATCCATAACATTTTATACAAATGTGTAAACAAACGCTATCACTGTATATTTTATAAAAGGAATAAACTGTACATTCCTACAATTCATGTTCAACTTCAAAAATCCCCAACATTCTGACCTTCAAACATACATAAACGAGAAGACACATAAAACAGTGCAAAATGTGTTCTTTCACTGACTTAAGCAGGATACACTTTTTGTGGTAGATATGTACATCTTGTGGCTTGATATTACCTTTGTTTTCAGAAGTACATTTAATGAGTACAGTCAGGAAATATCTCAACAAAGGGTTAACAGTTTCAAATTTTAATAGTACCTATTGAGTTGGTGGCGCTGGTCAGGGTAGGGCATGTTGCTATAATCTTCACCTCTACATCGTCGTGAAAAAAGGAACCCTGAAACAAAGCCCACAACTAGGGCAGCCAGACAAGATGTGGTCACAGCGATGCTCAGTGTCTCTGCTGTATAGATTGGACTCTTTTCCTGTGATGATGGCAACTTTGATCCTGTGACAAAACATAGTATAATTAATGTAAAGTATCCTCTACTAAAAGCTTAAATACCCTGCACTACAATTGACTTTCAGGAGAAATAAAAGAGCTTCAGTTTTCTTGTATTTAAAAAATTCTAAGTTTCCATTTGAACAAATTGTCTTGGACTGATGATTAAATTCAAGCATGTTCTTTTCAGTTTTCTTGGAATCACTCCCACTACTGCTAAAATGTTGTTTATGGATAATTACGAACTTGTAATCCTAATTCTCTCTCTTAAACAAGTGATCCCAATATGGTTCTTCTGATAACACACCAACCTGCAAGGATGGCTCAGTAAATGAAGACATGAAGATTGGTTTCTGACAGATAGTATTCCCATTAAAAAGCACATGTTACATTATAAACTCCACATAGAGTGACAAACTGTCCCACATGTAGAATGTAGTTATACAAACATTTTTGAAAAAGAAATGACATTAAACAAAATTTATCACTATGAGAAATGCCATGCCACTAGAAGTACAGAATAACTGAACTTTTAGTGTAGACAGTATTGACATCCATGCAGCTTGTAGGCCATCCTGTGTTTCATATGTGCTATCATTTTGTGTACCATTAGTAACATAAATTGTTGTGTGAGTGTTTGAACAATTAAAAACTGTGGCAGTGGGGGCTCAACATGAAATGCTTGCTGTATCTGGAAGCACTAAAGCATACTAGTAATTAAGAATACAATTTGAGTAAATTGCAAATGTGCTTTAATTCAGAACTGCAATTAAATACTGACCAAGAAAACCTGATTCATTAATAAACCCTGGATAGCAAAAAAAAAAAGTATTCCACAAATCTAAGTTATGAGTGGGGGGAAATGCAGCACCACCATTATTAAGGGGAAGACTACAACCGTGGTAGATTTTTAACATAAGGATATGGGAACAACAAAACAATGTGATCAAGCAATATACTACTTTGGAGAGAGGGAAAGATACCAGCAACAAGATGAAGCATTCTGCTATACTCATATCAACCCTACTAACCTTACCTCATGCTTAGTAGCTACTTCCAGCATAATAGCATTCATGGCACCAGCATTTATCGATTCATACTAAGTACCTAGCAACCTTCAATCAATGACAACCACTGTAGGCCTACTTATGCAATTTCACTTTCCAGTATCTATAATGATGATGTACTTGTACATTACTGCAGCCAAAAATTCAAATTTTTGTTATATATTGAAGTATATAACATACATCCTACCAACTCTGATTCCAGGTAATGAAGTTTAAACAATTTCTTCAGAAAATAAATACTATGCCTAAATAATATTGTACATTGTTCCTGCATAGATATACAACAGAAGTGCATTAAATATGTTTGCATTCAGGTATTAAAATGGATAATTTTGTAGCAAATATTAATTTTTAAAAACAATATTATCAAGAACAAATATAATAAAACTAACTATAATCACACAGATTTAGAAGTAAATTAAATTTCCAAAAGAACATGTGCTACAAAAGAAAATTCAGGCACAAAACAGAAATGATATCAGAAAAATAATTATTTAAGAAATATTTATTGGCAGTGAATGAAGAAAATGAAACTGGATATACACATCAAAAAGCTAGCAAGAGAAGCAAGCAAAAAGAAGAGAATTCTCTCAAAAAGTGTAAATAAAACAATGAAGCTTCAAACAAAACATGCAAAATAATCACAGTAATAAACAACAACACAGGGAAAAAAGGTTACAATATATCTTATGAGAAAGGAATCATAGTTGAGTTATTTTCATTACTTGAACAGTCAAATGATTCTCCAGGAATCAAAACAATACTGAAATGAGTTACAAAACCTTCTGAAAAGTATAAAAATAATAAAAGCACCAGGAAAGAGGAGACTCAATATCTATTTAAATATACTGGCGAAATATATTGTAGCAGATTTCAAGAGTTTCTAAAAATTATTTATCATGATGGTTACATAATACAGGGTGGGGCATATTAACCTTTCCGACTTCACAAGGTCATTGCTGAGGCTAGGGAGGGGGTAGAGTGGTGGGGATGGTATTGTTAGACGTGTCATATCATGCAGTTTTCAGTACACACAATTGCTTGGTCAGGAGAACATCATGCGTTCATGCTGGAAGAGTTTATTAAAAATGGCGGTTCTGTGACCAAAACCCAGCGAGCTTTTTGCACTCACTCGGTTGGCGCGATCCCATTCCCACTGGAGCAACAATTAGAAATTTGGCATCAAATTTTAGAGCAACATCTTCTGCATTAAAAAGAAAATCTTCAGGCAGATTGTGGTGTCTGGGGTCCCTACTTCTTCGAAGAAGATGGTCATTACAGTGGCTTCTGCTTGATACTGTTACATGCTTGAAAATTTTCTTCTACCGAAATTGAACGAATTATTGCAAGATCATGATCTGGAAGATATCTGGTTCCAATAATATGGTGCTACAGCCCACACCTCGAATCGTTCAATGGAGATTCTAAGACAAATGTTTCCCGGTCTTCTTGTCTCTTTGCAGGGTGACATCGGGTGGGCCCCCCAGATCGCCTGATCTAACACCATGCCTCAAGGCAAAAGTGTACACACATCGTCCCCGAACTATCGATGAACTGAAGGCTGCCATCATGGAAGAAATCAACGCTATTCCACAGAATATGACTCGTAGTCATGGAAAACTTTCGAAACAGGCTCCGTCAGTGTATGGAAAACAGAGGTGGCCATTTGGAAGATATTATTTTTAAACCCCATTACAATAAAACTGCATTCTATGTCCTTTCAAATAATAAAATAATTTTGCCTGCATCTTTCTTTATTTCTATTCCACGCATTTTTGAAATCGGAAAGGTTTATATGCTCCACCCTGTATAGCATTAACATAAAACTGTTATGTAATATTTCAATGCTTATGAGAAACAGATGATTAAATGATATATATATATATAAAACAATTACATTAATGAAATATCATAAAACTGCTGTAGAATTAAATGTACATATATGAACTGTCCAAAAGTAAAAGTAAAGCTATCCCTGTAACAGGCCATGAAGGCCCATAGGGTTGTGAGACGTTGAGGGTCCCACATTATCTAGACAATCGGCTCAAAGATACTGCTTATTATTACTGGTTGTAGATATCTGCCTTGTGAATCCATCAAAAATTAAATTTCTTCCTAGTTGCCATTATCATTTTTATTACATCACAATCTGTGAATCTGCTTTTCCAATCAGCAGGGGAAAAAGCTCCAAGAATGGTCAATGTTCCTACATCTAAGGCTCTTAAGATGTTGGTGGTTTCTTCTTTCATTTCAGAGGGGGGTGACCCCTCCGTAATGTCCTGACACTCATTTCTCAAATCCTGATGGAAGATCTGGCTATTTGCTTCAAAATCTCCAGCCTCACAGTTTTCCCAAAATCCTGCCAGATGTCCTCTCACTTTTAAGACATAGTCTCTCTGGTAAGTCTCACTTCCTTAAGCCATTATTGCATTCTGGTTGCACCCAACATCTCCTCCCGAACATCCGTCCTTTCTGGGTTCCTTGTAAAACACTGTCCCTATAACGCTTTTTTGTCACCTCTTTTCGACCATCAGTCCTTCATGACCACATCCCTTACATCATACCACTCCTGCCTGGCGAGTCATCCCTATGTGGGTGGCCAACTTCTTCCAGGACCCACCATTGCCCTGGGTCTGTTTCTTTGGCTCTCGGCAGCACCCTACGGCTAGACAGTGGTCCCTATGCCATTTCTTCAGCACTCCAAAAGATTCCACTGCAGCCTCTTCCTTAAGGACCTCCTCATGGACTCTACCTCAAATGAGGTTGCCTCCTTACTCTCCAGTCGGGCCTCTGTCACTTCTTGGCACGCCAGCATCTCATTTAACCATGCCCTCATTTCTTCTATCCAGCCATCCATCTTGGCTGGTGTTCATCTTGGCCAGCATTTCTTCTTTCAGGAGTTCTTGGAAGGCCCTTATTTCCTTTAGGTTGTCTTCTGCCTTGGCTTGGTTGGTTCTCATTTCAGCCTTCATTTTGGCTAGCATTCAAGACATCATTTGTTTGACTTCCAGTGTGGAAGATCAAGATCCAATGCAGTTTCCAATCCATCCCACTCCTGATACCAACTGTCATGATTTATGGGTGACTATAGATGGGGCATGGATTGGTGACTGGATTTATTGGCCACACAATTCGGAACTACTACACTCTCACTGATCTTCATACTTTAGAAATCATCACATGCTAATCCTTCTTAAACCTGTAGTGCCTCTGCCAGCCATTCCCTGGAAACGGCTTCTAACAGTGGAGATTCTTCAAGCTTCACATGCTCAGGTCCTATCTTCACAGCCTCCCATATGGAACCAAATTCTCAACTGACAACTGACTGGGTCACCCCAACTGTCTTCCTTATAACTCCTCTGCATGGATAGAGTAGAAAACACCATTTCCAACAGTAACTCTATTGTTGTAGAAACATGTTCACTATGCCAATGTACAGCAATGGCTGTTGTATCATTGTTTCTTCTGAGGTCTTCGCCTAGCAATCGGTCTATACGCCACAGTACTTCCAAGGCATTAGACTCTAAATGTTCTTAGAGGGGAATAAATAAATACATAATAAAATGTGCTACTATTAAATGTTGTACTCAATTTTGGATGGGATGCGGGAAGTGTTTCCATTGCTAACAGTAATGTCCACACCAAGTCAGTAATAAAAATGATGCATGACTTATTATACTATGTTTATACCTTTACAGAAAAATAATACAATATAATTAAACACTATTTTAAAACATATGCTGAAATCACACAATGCAAGACCCAGAATAAAGGCTATCAACACAACAGAAATATAAGGAGTAAGCATATCAGATGCATAAGTAGGAATGATAAGATATCAAGAGGTCCAAATCCAGCCCAGTGCCATACATTTCACATAACACCCTGAGCAAAATCAACGTGCATACAAACTGACTAATAACATTATGAAAAAATGACAATAACAAAACAGTATTCAAGAAATAGTGAGATACTAAAACTGTCTTTGTGTGGCAACCTCAATGGCTATGTGACCGTCACCTTACCTGCGTGGTTGATCTCGGCGAGTGTGTTAGGTATCACGTTGCTTTCATCCACTTCAATCACTATCTCACTGTTGTCATTGATGTCAAAATCTGAATCGAAATCGCTGGCTGGGTGGTTTGAGTGAACGGGATCGCCTGCCAGAGGTCAACACGCAGGTTAACAGACAAGCTGGTTGTAAATGGGGCACTGGTCATTTCATAATACTGGCAGCTACTTAAACCTTCACAAATAATTGTGGCCACAATTATTTTAATGTAACATTTACTCTTACTGTATTCTATCACTGGAAAAAATTAAACCCAAATTGATAGAGACAAAATGCAAGTCTGTTTGTGATCAAAGAAGATATCATTAACTTCTCATTTCCTTCAACCTAATCTAAATTAAAAGATCAACATTTTTCCTATCTGAACATAGCATGTCCTTCTTGAGAAGGTAACAGTCATTTAGCTGGTCAAGAAATTTCCTACCTTTTATAGAACCTGAAGGCACAATAATGTGTTCACAAGAAACTGCCACTAGACATTAGTACATATTTTACTCTTTTCAGGTTATTCCTGCACCATAATTTGGGTATTCATATTAGGTCAACGCTAATATTTCTTTTGTGATAAGGGCTGAAAAGAAGGCCACAGTTAAAGTGTAAGGGTTTCTGACACAAATTATGTCCTGTACCTGGTAAGTTTTACAAACTGGTGACCAGTGCTTCCATTTCTCACCAAACTACAAACTTCTTCAGGCAACGTGTCAATGCTAGCATATATAAGTGACATATTAGTCCAAACCCAACAAGCAAAAGGCCTCACTGTTATTCTGAATGTGAATTCCTACCTCCACACCACACTAACACATGCAATTTATTAGCAGAAAGCAGGGAGAGAGAGAGAGAGAGAGAGCACGCGCAAAGGTTATGATAATAATGTGATCAGTATCTGTGTACAATATGCAAATTATAAGTAACTTATAAGTCACATAACAAAATAATAACTCCAAGGAGTAGTTTTCTTTGAGAAGCCTAGAGTAATTTAGATAGTCAAAATATCCGCCACCTTAAAAGAAACATAAAGTTTTAGTACCATATTCACAAGAGCAAACTAATAAAACAATATACAGCATACAGTATTTATAAATTAATTTGTGTGCTGAAAAACAACAAACTAACCTAAAATTCTGCTCCCCCACCCCAACATTTAAGAAATGTAAATGTGAAAATGACACTAGAAGTAATATGACAGTGTTGTCTCAGAGCAAATATGCATTTCAAGGCTAACCCACTGTAAAATTGGTAAAACAGTATAGAAAACTGCTCAAGTAAATGCACATACGATTTATAAATTAAGTTAATACACAACATGAATAACATCATCAAATTATGTGTCAGAACAAAACTGTTCCAACAGATTGGTAAACACTACTGGTGGACTATTTATAGTTCACTATAATGCCTAAAAACTGGCCATTTTTTAACTGATCCTGTTTGCATGACAGAATTCAAGATGCTGTGATTAAGCTAGAATTCCACAATGCTTTGCATTCTAGTCCATTTCTACCTTTCCCATACAATTCCTTTGCATTAAAATACATAATACAAGAAATTCAATACCACAAACCTTAGGTTTCCTGTAACATAAGAAAACAATTCTGAAGGAACAATACTGATGGGAATATCCCCCATACAGGGGGCTAACAAACATACTGCCAGAAGATGCTGGAAACTGAGATTTCATCCATACTACTGACTTTCTCAATTCATAATAGTAATTCAAAATTCAATAATGTTTGAAGGTGCTGGTAAGTCTACTAGTGCATAAATTTTAATTCTGAATGAAGAGGTTATGTAAGAGTCAACACTTTTTTGATTGAAGTCATCTGTGTGTGGGATCTGTTGTAATTAGTGCTCCCTCCTTTAACACCTAAACAATTAATTTTATTAGTGTAAACTTACAAGCATTTGTTAAAATAGTTTTGCAATTACTGCACAAATAATACACCAAACATCAAACAACATGATGATAAACATGCTTAACTATTACACCATTAGCAGAAAATTTTCAGTACTACAGAGATAAAGCATATTAGTGTATAGTATACTGGTAGATCCTGTGCCATGGGGAGGAATATGGTAATAGGGACATGTATAGTTTTCCTTCACTTTGGTTAGTGCCACTGCACTGACATATATTTTTTGAAGTGCTGTCATCTTTAACTTATTATGTTAGGCTTATGTAACTACCTATACTGAATATTTGAAAGAACAAAACACACCCATATTCAAAACCGAACTAATCTTCTAACACAACTGTGTGCCAGTATTTTCAAAATAAATGTTTTCAACCAGTTCTTAACTGAAACACTGAATCCAGGGCCATTTCACATTTCTTCTTCATTAGATATATTTAGGGGAATGAAAAGGCCGTGCCATAGCTCAAGCGGTTAGTCGCTGGCTTCCCACCGTGTTGGCCCAGGTCTGGTCAAGTGGGATTTGTGGTGGACAAAGTGGCACTGGGGCAGGTTATCTCCAAGTACTTCGGTTTCCCCTGCCAATCTTCATTCCACCAATTGCTTCACAATCACCCTCACCTATCATCTGGGGCTGGTTCAATAGGCCAGAAATGGCCGCAGTACAAGGGACTTACTCCCACCCCACTAGCAATAAAAAAAATAATAGGTGAATGAAAGCAAGTAAACACATCTCCCTTAAATATCACCAACACAAGTGAGGGGAAACCACATAAATCTTCCTATAAAGATAAAACTAGTCAGTATAATAGACTTCTGAATGTACCTGCACATAACGGGTGCAACATATACTCGTACTGTAATGTGTTCTTCTCAAATTAGGTTGCATAGTTGCACCTTATTTTCTTTAAAAAAAAATACTTTTGATATCTTTCATTATACCAGTCCATGCATTTATGATGGACATCTTTTCAGTGTTACCAACTCTGAAACTGGTATATGATATAAATATTTCTCAGATATGTAATTAGTTGCTGCAAAAGAGATAACTTCCAAACCTGTACTGTTAGAAAAATTAACCTGAAGTTAATTTATTGCCCTGTGTCCTGGAGACTGCATTCTCTCTCCATCTTCAAATGGAACCTACTCAGTTGTGCCCAATTGATAGAGCTANTCCATCCCCACCATTAGCCCGGATAATCGAGAGTTGACTGTACAAACAAAGCACAGCACAAACCATCTGCAAGAGTTGAGACAAACATTAGAAACATTAAAAGAACTCCACACATATGAGGCCTAGCACCAGAGTACTGTCAGAATAGATGTTATTGCTAGAGAGATAAATTCTCTGTATGGTACCAATTTAAAAAATACAATTTTCCCATTTAATCTACAATGGAAAGAGTTTCTGGACTTTGCTACGATAATGGGAGTCCAAATGGGAGAGATGTCTAAGCTGGGTTGACTGATCGGATGATCTATCAGAGATGTGTGGGCGGATTCCTTGTATTTCCTGCATGTGGTGTTTGGATCAGTCTGCAAGACCTTTGCATCTGTTAAAATCTTTGGTGAGGAAACTACTGTCTTCTGTTGTTGCTTACACTGTTGGTCCCCTCAACATGCACATGTGTTTTCTGATGCCTTTCTTGTTCTCAAGAAGACATAATGGAATTACTGGACATCTGTTTAAAAGCTATGTATTTCCAGTTTGAGCACAAATTTTATCAGCAAAAGAAAATAGTATGGCAATGGGAAACTCTCTATCTCTGGAGGTTAGTAATATATTTAAGGAACACTTAGATGAAACAGAATTGGATACAGCAGACCACAAACCCACTAAGTGGCTCAGACACATCGCCAAAACTTTTGTGATTTGGCCACATGGACCAGCAAGATTGCAGCAATTTCTTCATGTCAACAACATTAGACCTACCATCAAATTCAAAATGGAAGTTGAAGCTTCCTTCAGTTCTTGGATGTTTTGGTCATAAAGATGTGACACAAATTGGTCACAAAAGTTACCAGAAACCTACCCACACAGGTAGTTATCTGCACTTCAACCACCCACATCACATGAAAATGGCCGTTATCCATAGTTTGTTCAGCCAAACCAATGTCGTATGTCAGGATCAGAAGAATTTAAAAGTGGGTTGAGATGCCCAGCAGATGAAGCAGTCTGTATACAATATCCAATGTGAATGTGGCACATGTTACCTCAGCGAAACAAGCAGACCTTTAGAAGTATGCATTAAGGAGGATAAACATAACCTGACATAAGGTCTGCTTAAAAAATCAAAATTAGCCGAACATGCTTATGAAGAAGGCTATAAAATAGGTTGGACAGATGCGAAGGTCTTGCAGACTGAACCAAACTCCACATGTAGGAAATACAAGGAATCCACCCACATGTCTCCGATACATCATCTGATCAGTCAACCCAGCTTGGACATCTCACCCATTTGGACTCCCTTTATCACAGCAGAAGTCCAAAAAAAACTCTTCCCATTGTAGATTAAATGGAAAAATTGTATTTTTTATATTAGTACCATACAGAGAATTTATCTCTCTAGCAATAACATCTATTCTGACAGTACTCTGGTGCTAGGCCTCATATGTGTGGAGTTCTTTTAATGTTTCTAATGTTTGTCTCAACTCTTGCAGATGGTTTGTGTAAGGTTTGGTGTGTATGCTGTATCTTGTGTTGGTGAAGTGTCTTATCAATTGGGCACAACTGAGTAGGTTCCACCTGAAGATGGAGACAGAATCCAGTCTCCAAAACACTATTTTTTAAATAAAAACTGGATAATGCCCAGAAACACAAGAGTTATATTAATACACCACTGTCAAAAACTTTTACATCTGAAATTTTATGTTTAAAATTATTAAATATTTAGTATCAAGCATCACACTTCCATGGTTAATAAAAGTCAACAAGTCAACATTGATTAATATACTGAAGCAGGGAATTTAAATGGCTGTCTCCTATTCAGAATTAATGTGTAATATGACAGAAATATCTGTTATGCATGGAAAGCAAATTAGTTATACTTCCTGCAGAATTAATGGATTAATAGTAAAAAATTAAAAATGCAAATACGAGTAAAGAAAATTCCTATTAATCTTGGTTCCTCAGTCATAGCTCAATGCATAATCAATTCTGTATGTTACAGGAACT